CACCATAGGAAGCCTGTACTATAAGGGGCCTACCTTCCAAAAGATAACCCCATTTTTTGGTCCCCCCTTATATTTCAGAAAAAATATTAGAACTGGTTTTTCAGTTATACCTCTCCCATTAATCAACAGTAAGAACACTCATAATAACATTGCTAAGTTCTTGTTTCTGCATCAGTAGTACAGGGTTGTTGAATATAATATATATTAAAATACTTACAAAGTATAATGTAGCATATACATAATTTTAGCATCTAGTTTATAAAATAAGTTAATTTATGCTTATCGGCACTAGCCTTAAAACATCAATTCTGTTTCACGACTGGACTTTGAAAAGAAGGGGGGATGGCCTCAACCACTTGGAAGTCTCCTCCTAACATCTAATCTCCAAATGTAAAGAATGTAACATGCCACAAAGATCACTGAGACTAAATTAAGATTTAAAATAATATGAAAGAGATGTAAGATTTACCACTTTATCATCACATTCATTGGGCAGCTTGCCCCAGACCTTCCTTATACTGGAATTTTTTTCAACCCACTTCTTACTGAAAATTTGGCGAGAATGGTCAAGAGATTCTCTTGGCACCACTGTCCCCTCAACCTTCACTCTGAACGCATGGACACGAATGCCAAGAGCGTGGAACATGCTCCTGAGAGGCAGAATGAAATGGAAGTTTACTGACTAAAGGGTGGTCAGAGAGGTAAGGTACTATTTGTGGAAGGAGAACATCTTTCAGGTGTTGCCGATCTGCCTAAAAATAGCCAACCTACTCTGCAGTCTCTCTGATGAAGGCAGAGCCAGAGCCAGAGCCTCAGATTTACCAGGTACTCTTAGCAAAGCTTAGAACGAAGCTAGCCAGTGTAGCCCTGTTCCTTTTCTTTGGGATTAAACAAAGCTGGCTTTAAAAAAAAAATCTAAATCTTCCAGCCAATTGCTGATAACTTATTTTAGAGCAATAATCAAATAGTATATTTCAACACTAAATAATAAATAAAATCCCCTACACCCAGCTTTTCCAGTGGAAGCAAGAAGCCCAAATTAACATACAGCAAACTTCCCAAATGTGCAAATTCTATTAATTATACATTTTCCAAAATATGTATCACTATAAATTAATGAGATGAATTGGTATAAATATCTTTAGGAAAGCTCATTTAACTTGTATGCGAACTTCAGAAGGTAACAACATCCGTGAAAACTAACTGTACTGCCCAATGCTCAAAGTCTGTAGGTATCTATACGCTTTGAACAACTGATTCTATCAATAAAATAGAATACACATTTCTACAATACCTTTACGTAGAATTCTCAGGCCTGGCTGTATAAAATACACAGTACATTTTCAAGATTTAAAATCTGAATATGTACATTTATAAAGTGCTATTGCTAGGTGCCCAGATAGGCCCCCAATCTCATTAGATCCTCTCAACAGCTCTGTGAATTAGGCAGTCCTAATTTCACCAATGACAAAACTCAGTTAAGTAACTTGTCTGCAAGCAATAAAGTCTGCCTGACTCAAAAATACATTAAAAAAAAATTTACTTTAGATGGTAGATTTTTTTAAAGATAGTAGTTTAATGTAAGAAATAATAAGTCAAAATTAGTCATTGGGAATGTTTTTAGCAAACTTAGTGGTTAAGCCTAAAAATATTGACATTTGCCTTGCAACCTGGCTTCTTTACATTATTTTAGACCTTTTTCATGTGTCTTCATTGCTTCTGTTAAACTGTGATTTCATTGCAGGCAGACAAGGGACTGAATTTTCTATCCTTTTGAACACGAACAGAATTACTGCTGAACACTATTTTGTAAATGGTGAGCACTCAATAGACTTTTTTTTTAGTAAATCTGGAAACCAAAATGACTCTTAAGAAGGTTAAGTATAAAAAACAGTTCATTTAAAATAACATACACCAAAAGAATATGAAAATATGTATTTATTACCAACAAAGTAGGACTTCCTACAAAAGTGTTTTTCAATTACACACACACGGGCACACAATAGCAGGATGAAATTATATTTTTCACATACTAAAGGTTTATACTCCAAAGAAAACAGGCATATGTCCAAAAGACAATTAGAAAGCAGTAAGAAATATTTCCTTTTACTCTGAACAGAGAAAATCTTTTGACAGACTCCAATGAAGATTTAGTCATCAAAAAACACTTGCCATCTTAAAGTTTTGAATATCATTTTATTCATCAAATTAGGCTTTTACTTGAAGTTTTCACAATTTGTATGTAATTAAAAATCAACTTTTGCAGAAAATACATGAAGTTTTAGCCCATTCCCCATTTAATCCGAGGATACTCACTGGCAGTGCTTGCAGCAGCAGTGTGTTTACACCGAGATTAAAAAAAAAAGAGAGAGAATTACCATATTTTGTAATTCTCTCTCTCTCTTTTTTAGTAATTCTTGTTAGGATTAGAGACAAGTTCTGTTTAGAAATAACTCCAATAACAGTTTTTATATTTTATTTTCACACTGAATAAAGTCAGATTTGCTTCAGTCTCAAAAAGTGTGCTTATGTAAAATTAAATGAATGTGGCAGCGAGCTGCACTTGTTTTTCCTAAACAGGTAAAATGTTAGGTGGCTGAGACTATGCTGATCTAGACTTATTACTCTTTTATATATTAAAGTAATACATAATTTATTCTTTACAGCTCAAAATTCAATGTATAACCAAAATTAACTTTTCCGGCTGGGCACAGTGGCTCATGCCTGTAATCTCAGCACTTTGGGAGGAGGAGGCGAAAGGATTACCCGAGCACAGCGATTCAAGGCGAGCCTGGGCAACTTGGCTGGTCTTGAGCCTGGGTGTGCTGACAAGTGCCTGTAGTCCCAGCTACTTGGAAGGCTGAGGCCAGCAGGTAGAGGCTAGATAGCTGTGATTGTGTCATGGCACTCAAGCCTGGGAGACAGAGACTCTGACTAAAAAAAAAGAATAGAAAATCTAACCAACCTAACAACAACAAAAAACCCAAACAAACGAACAAAAAACCCACTTTGTCTAGTAGAGAAATATAAATGCTTACAAACAAGGTATATTATAATTATTGGCATGTATGAAATTAAACTGTAATTGACCATTTTATTTTCAAACACGCTTTAAGCTTCTTTTTCACATTGATATTCATTTTGCAGAAATAAGATGACTGGTATTAATTCAGACAATAAACAAACCATACCAAGCACACATTAGTAAAGATATTTTGGTGGAAAACAAAGTATTTAACAACAACAAAAAAGTTTGGCAACATCTATTTACTAAATTGTTACTAAGTTTCTCAATGTTTACATGACTTGTTCATACTAGTAAAAATGTTATTTTAAAATATTTTCTTTCTTTTTTTTTTGAGTTGGAGTTTCACTCTATTGCCCAGGTTGGAGTGCAGTGGCACCCTCATGGCCACTGCAGCCTCAACCTGTTGAGCTCAGGTGATCCTTCCAAGTAGCTGGAGCTACAGGCATGCGCCACCACACCCAGCTAATTTTTTTTTTTTTTTAATCGTAGAGATGGAATCTTGCCAAGCTGTTGAGGCTGGTCTCGAGCCCGTGGGCTCAGGCAATCCTCTCACCTCAGCCTTCCAAAGTGCTGGGATTATAGGTGTGAGTCACTGTGCCCAGCCAAATATTTTCATACTCCATGCATTTGACTTAGTTTAAGAAGGGAAGGCTCTTTATTTAAAAAAAAAAAAATTTATAAGGAAAAAAATACATTTTTGAAGAGAAAACGTTTAAGCGAGTGAACATAAACCTATGGTTCATTATTTTTTGACCTAGTAAGAACACAAATTTCAGTGGCTACTTAAGAACATACAGAACTCAGACTGAATAAAACTATTCCGTTTATTCAAGCAAGCAAGTAAAAAATAATAATCTTGTCATTACTGGCACAGATCAAATTGACTTTCGTTAAAAGACATAGCCTTGGACTAGTCCATTTTCTTACAAGATTTATTTTTTAAAAGAATAGAATTTGTTCAGCTCTGTTAATCAGTTACACTCAGCGATAAGCAAATAATTTTCTCATTTAATTCTTTCTAAGTGAAAGAAAACCCTTAAACTAGATTTTCTGGGAAAATGGATAGCTTGACACTGTAAGGAAGGGCCTAAAAGCTAAAGTTCTAAAAACATTATGGTCTTAAACAAATAAACATTTTTCCCTCACTCTTTACATAACACTGAGAAATTTCAAATATAAATCGTAGAAACCAGTATATGAAATTTAAATCTTACTAAAAATAATTATAAAAATGCTTTTTAAAAATTTAAGATGTAAAATACAATAGATCTAAATTAAAAACAAAAAACAGAAAAAACCCCACATACTTTTACAAGGTTATTTAAAAAACCTTGTCACCAATTTCATTCTGTCAATCTTTTGGTTGCATTTTGCATCATCTAGTGGCCACCTTGTGGCATTTCAAAGAAGTCCTGCTACCATTTTTGAACCCCTGTGTTTTTTCTTCCTTTGAAATACCAGTATTACAATTATAGCATCAAGTTTCATAAAACTTTTGTAAAGGCCCATAAAATTCTATTTCCTAGTGAAGATAAGGTAATCTTTTTTAATAGGAAGAAATGAATAGATTTGTCATAAATTATTACTATACATTAGACTAGACATCTTCATATCAATTTTTAAAAATTAAATATAACACTGGGAAAAAACTAGGACTTAAGTTCTAGAGTCATCTTAAGACTCTAGAAGTAATTAAAATTTTTCTGCAATTAAAGCTCAGAGCTACCATGTCAAACTTTTTGTGACTGATAACTACCTTCCACTGTACCTTTGATTTGCAATATTAAGTGCCTTTTAACATGGGAACTCAATGATTCTCAGTCAGTGCTGAGGATTCAGATTTAACCAAGACTGAAGAAGACTTAACCTTTACTACTAAGATGCTGTTCTAGAGAAAGAAGTCACTACAGTCTCCATTTCATCAACCTATTTGTATTTTAAGAGCAGGTTTCAAAAAATAACTGACTTTTTATTTTAATGAATCTTCTTTTATTCAGTTGAGTCACACTTATAAACAGAATTTAACATAAAGATTACACAATTCCCTCTTTACTTTTATTGAGAAGGTTGGGTGAATGTAATACGGCGCCGCCGCCTTTGGAAAGCCTTTAAATTCCATTTGTTTGGTTCCAGCATATGAGGACCATTGTAGACAAACAACACCGTCATCTTTTCAGAATAAGGAAGATTTTGCAGGAGCTGTAAGCATTAAAACAGACAATCATATAGTGTTAAACATGGAGCAGTTTTCCAACCTTACATGTTTACAGCCCAATATAATACTTTATTTGTAATATTAATAAAACTCTTAAGATACTCTCAAATACTTCAATATAAATCTTGCCAGACTGTGATCTTACCTGAATTAGCATACCTGAAGCCTGGCTTAAAGAACTGAAATGTCTGAGAGCTCTATAGTCACAGGATAACTGGGCTCATACAAATTCCTAGTTAGACCCCGGAGAAAAGTATGCCCCTCATAATTTTCCTGAGATAGATTCTTTCACTTTTTATCCACCAATGTTCTCAAGCATCTCTATGGTCAGGCATGGTAACATGAATTGCCTTAAAAGTGTGTAACAGGGAGGTTTAGTTTATAGGCCAAGGTATTTGACAACTGTTTTTATCAAAGTTAATCTGTGAATAAATGATGATGAGATGCCCACAATTTCCTGTGGGCCAGGGAGTAAATACAGAGAAAGGGCAGCATGACAAGAGATGCCTTTCTGGGAAAATAGAGAGGGCCAGAGTTCCAGGGATTGCATTCCCCAGTCATCTTTTAGTGCTAAGGGTACCTTTTTAGAAGAGAATGAGTGCCAAAAGCAGAGAGGAAATCTCGACTCTAAGAACACAGTGATATGCCGTCAACAGGTCTTCTGATAATTAAGTTCCTGATTAAGGACGTCACTGGAACTTGTCCCTTTTATTAACGTAAATATTACTGTTATTGTTTAAATTCCTTTTTTGGGAGTGCTTCTGTTCATATTTACATATTTGGCCAAAGGACTTCTGAGTATATGAGTACTTTTAGGTTACTTATTACCTACCTTTGGTGTAATGAAGAAGTACTGAGATGTGTTTTCTTTACAGGCAGTCTTTACAACCATTTCAAACACTCTCCGTTCATTGATTGGGTCCATTCCCTAAATGATGACAATAATAATGAGTACAGTTATATCTATTATGGGATATAATAAGAGCCAAGCAAAAGAATAATCATTATACCTGATTGATTTCATCAACTACTCTGAATGGACATCTATTAAGTTCCTGAAGTGCCATCAAGTATAACATGGTAGAAACACTTCTTTCACCTCCACTCTGGTGATGAGGGGTTAATTCATGAAGCTGAGTACTACTGCGAAATTTGACTCTAATTCGAATTCCATATTTATCGTAATCTTCCTATAAAACAGGTAAAAAGTTGATAAAAGATGAGAGTTCTTTCTAGTAACTTCAATTATTTGCACATAGATCAAGTTAACTGAATAAGAGTAAACAATTCAAAATTTGGTGATACTAGTTTAAAAGAAAACAATACATATTAAGCAAACAGTTACTATCTAAAAGGTTTAAGGGTTCCCCAGGGTCCATTTAGACAAAGAAAACAATCAGATTAAATTAACTTTTTCCTCCTCTATAGCATTCTATTAGTCTTTAGCAGTCCTTCCCAAGGGCTTTTTAAAAATTACTGAGTAAAGAGTCCTATCATGGAAAGGCACTATCTAGTACTGTTCCAAAGTGCTAGGTTTTCAAACTACAGGTGAGAATAATTAGAACACAGTGGAGTACATCCACTGTATATCCACTGTAGGGGGCCAAGTGTCCTCCTCACTTCTTACACACACACACACACACACACACACACACGGTAGAAATTATATGCATACCTTATATGCATATAAATATTACATATATTAAGCTACACATATATAATACAAACAATATTCACCAAAAAGCCTGGCACATAACAGGTATTCAATACAAGTTGTAATGAGTACATTCAGTGTTTTGTAAATTTTGCCAAAACTGAGGCTGCTCCAAGGTTTATTTACTGCTCTTATCAATGCCATTTCTAGATTAGTCAGGTTCAGATTTACCTCAAAAATGAGATCTACAACTTACTAATTAAAGGTTGACTATTTAATAAATAGAGCTTTAAGATCTAAGACAGTGTTGACCATGAGAAAGGTGTAATGCAGGCCATTTAAGTTTTCTAGTAGTCACATTTTAAAAAATAAAAATAATAAGATGAAAGTAATTACCAAGTAGATTTTATTTAATTCATATCCCAAATATCATTTGACATTTGATCACAATATAAAGTATTATTGAGAGAGTTTACATTCTTTTTTCATACTAACTCTTTGAAATCTAGTACATACTCTACATTTACAGCATCTTCACACATTTCATGTGTTCCATAGACATGTAGTTTGTGGTAGTGGCAACTGCATTCAACAGCAAAGGTCTAAGATTAATAGTAAGAACTTTTATAGAAATAAACCTCTTTAACTATAAATAAAAGGATTCTGGTAGGCTGCCAAACTTTAGAAATACTACTTTCAATCTATTTGCACCCCCTAAAACAAACCAAAAAAAAAAAAAAAAAATAACAACAACACAATGAATTTGTAATAATTTTGATTCCCAGGGTTTATTTCTTTTTTTTTGAGTTGGAGTCTCACTCTGTTGCTCAGGCTGGAGCGCAGTGGCATGCTCACAGCCCCTGCAACCTAGACCTGTTGGACTCAGGTGATCCTTCCACCTCAGTCTTACAAGCAGCTGGAACTATAGGTGAGCACCACCACACCTGGCTAATTTTTTGATTTATTATAGAGACGGGGTCTCACCAAGTTGCCCAGGCTGGTCTTGAACCCCTGGGCTCAGGCAATCCTCTCACCTCTGTCTCCCAAAGGGCTTGGATTACAGGTGAGAGCCACTGCGCCTGGTCAAGGTTTACTTTTTAACTAACATGCCACTTTTCTTCTATAATAATTTTATTAACTATATAATTTCTTAACTATACCAGCTTTGATTACTAGAGTTTTATTTTTGGTGCTGCCATCCATTCTTTGCTCTTTCTGCCCATTTTAGCTTCTTCCATCTCATTGATGGCTGTGGCTAAAGAAGGCAGTTCTAGGACCAGGACTGAGGAGGCCAGAATAGAAACTTTCCAAAGGGGAAGCTGAGAAGAGGCAAAAATGTCCACTTTCCAGAAGCCCAGGCTGGGTAGTAGAATTGCACTGAAAAGGCTGGGGAAGAATCATCTCTACAGTAATGGAGTTATCACTGAAACATAAGAAAAACTGTCCAAAAGAAACAGTATATGATAAAGTTACAGTACCATACAATAGGACCTAGATTAAAGAAAGGGTTTTCTATAACAGGTTAAGTTCCACAGGCTTCACCTGCTCATTTTTATGTCTTATCTGGTTAAGCTGTTAGATAAAGATATAATGAAGTCTGATGAAACTCTCAGTAATCAAATTTATTTGAGAGCTTCGGTTCTGGGATCAAGTCAGGAATTTCATTCTTTGCTTTGCCACTTAGAAGCTATGTGACCTTTAGTAAACTTATCTTTAGCTTCAGTTTATTTATTTATAAAATAGGGTTAATAAAAGTATCTTTCACAGAATGGTTGTAAGGATTAAATAAGATACACTTAAAAATGCTTGGCACAGTGCCTGGCACAAAGAAAACATATCAGAAATTATTATTGTTACCATAATACTTGCCTTAATTCTAACAAGCCCAAAGACTGTAGATGACAACTACTGTGGTAAGGTCTAATATTTAGATCTACAACTTAAAAGCGAAAGATGTTTCAAATTTATGCTTCACACAAAGCAGATGAAGATGCCATGAGGCAAAGCTCCTAAGAGGAGAAAGCAGTGCTGTCCTGCATTATATCCATGCATGTAATATGCAAAATGTAATTGCTAAAATGCAAAACTACTGAGATGCAAAATAATTTTTCTTTATTATCTTTACTTCTTATTAAAAGTTTTTATTATGGGAAATGTGTAACATATACAAAATTGGAAAGAACACTAAAGTAAGTTCAATATACCATTAACTAGCCTCAACTATGATCAATATATGACCAATCTTGCTTTACTGATAACTCCACCCACTTCCTTTTCCCAATTATTTTGAAGTAAATCCCAGTTTATCGCTTTACATGTTTCTTAATGGAAAATTTATTTTACTTCAAATTGCAATGCATAAATTTATACCTCAAAAAATTAGTAGCAAATTTCTCAGTATTTTCATTCTCATAAATTTTTTTTTGTTTATTTTTTGAGTTGGAGTTTCACTCTGTTGCCCAGGTTGGAGTGCAGTGGCACGCTCATAGCCCCTGCAGCCTAGACCTACTGGGCTCAGGCGATCCTTCTGCCCCAGCCTTCCAAGTAGCTGGAACTACAGTTGCACGCCATTATACCCAGCTCACTTTTTATTTTTAATTGTAGAGACAAGGTCTGACCAAGTTGCCCAGGATGGTCTCGAACCCCTGGGCTCACGTAATCCTCTCGTCTTCACCTCCCAAAGTGCTGGGATTACAGGTGTGAGCTATTGTGCCTGGCTCATTTTCATCAACTATTTTTTGAGGGTCTCATCCTGTCACCCAGGCTGGAATGGCAGTGGCGTGATCAGAGCTCACTGCAGCCTCAACTCCTGAGCTCAGGTAGTTGAGAATATAGGCACACACCACCATGCCTGGCTAATTGTTTTATTTTTGTAGAGACAGGGTCTCACTATGTAGCCCAGATTGGTCTCAAACTCCTGGGCTCAAGTGATCTTCCCACCGCAGACTCCCAAAGTGCTGGGATTATAGACATGAACTACTGTACCCAGCTGAATTCTTAAATTCTTGATTAAAAAAAGTTGAGGCCAGGTTCAGTGGCTAGTCTGTAATCACAGCACTTTGGGAAGCTGAGGTGAGTGGACTGCCTGAGCCTGCGGGTTTGAGACCAGCCCAGGGAACTTGGTGAGACCTCTTCTCTACAACAAAATAAAAAATCAGTCGGATGTAGTCGTGTGCGCCTGTAGTTCCAGCAACTTGGATGGCTGAAGTGGAAGGATTGCGGGAGTCCAGCAGGTCGATGCTGCGGTGGCCCTGAGTGAGACTCTAACTCAAAAAAAAAAAAAAAATAGGCTCTCCATTTCTTTTCTTTTACTTTAAAGATATAGGGTACAATTCAGGATTAGGTATACAAGTGATCATTGTACAGGTAAAGTTTGAGCCTCCCTTTGGTTCCCACTTTGCCTTGTTCATAATCACGTAACCTTATTGATGTTATGTGCCCCACTCCCCACCGATTCTCTATTTCAAACTAATTTGTTTATGACTCTTTTAACTTGGGCAGTGGTGGACTTATAAAGCAATGCATTTATTCAACATGGCTTAATAATCATTATTCAGACTGTATAAAAAGAGTTAGTAAGGTATTAGTCACTTAATCTGAAACATCAACAAAAAATAAAAAAATGAACCTGATAGAATCCCATACATGGTCTTTTCCTTCCTTTGAACAATTTTTTAGTAAGCAAAATTTTCACAGATATAACTCTAAAGTAAATAATTTACATGTACTTTAGTCACATATTACAATTACTTGCCAGGAAATGTATTACAAATTCAATTTTACCTCATTTTCTGTATGGAGATCAACTTCACCAGCACACTGCATGGAACTAAAAAAATTGCTGAATTTTTCATTAATTTTTTCTACCAGCTCTTTTAAAGGATTAAGCCACCTTTCTTTTACCTGTAAATAAAGGAAATATAAAAACACATTTTAAAAACAGTATTATTACATTCTGATATAAGACTTTACATAAAACAAGTTTTATAGCTATATCAATCTGGTTATGATAATACACTTCTCTTAGGAGCATATCATCCCATTTTCCATTATTCCACATTCTCATTTCGTTAATGATAAGCATATGATAAAAAAGGTAAAACTAAAAAATTACCTGTGAAATGTTTTCCCTATATTTATCTAGTTCAATTTTCTTTCTCTTTAGTTCCTCAGTTAACTGCTCTATTTCTTCTTCTCTTTTTGTGTATTCCTCAACAATCTGGCAGGGAAGAAATATTTAAGATAAATCTACCAAAGGATAAAATTAAATAAAATTCTGCATCAATTAAAACATTAATAGAAAATGCCAGTTGTATTACATTGTTTGTATGCAACTCATTTATGTTCTTATTAAATCTGAAAATTACATTTTTTTATCCCTGAAAAAAATAGACATTGCAGTATTTCAGGTTAGCCCAACTATTCTTCTTATAAAGAAAAGGCATAGAACACTGTGTTCCTTAGGAAGAATCTATTTAAAATTCTAATAGATTCAGAATCTGGCATTTAAAGCACATTGTTCCTGCTGTCTAGCTTATTATTACCAAGAGCTCTAGTACAGAGTGGGAGGCAAGTACTGGAGGAACTGTGTGTGTGTGTGTGAGTGTGTGTGTGTGTGTGTGTGTGTGTGTGTGTAGGGTGGCAGTGGTGGTGTTTGCAGAATGGGAACAGAGAAAGAGACATACTGTAGGATTCAGTCCGGTGAAGCAGGAAGCTCTTGATCTTTCTTCAGTTAATAATGCATCAATTTCATCCAATGTGTTTGGAAGATCTTGGAAAGCCTAAAGAAAAAAATTGTCCATCATTATATTTACAATGAAAACAGGTCCATTCAAATAGTTAAAAGGAAAATAATCTGCTGAATAAGTATCTACTATCTGTTCAACAGCATGCTAGAAGCAAGGATACAAAGGAATTATAAACAGCGTCTTTTGCCTTCAAAAACTTACACTTTATTCTAAAAGAAAACAAAATGTATACACTGGATAAAACCTTAAGGCAATGTATTGATGATGAGTATTAAAATAAGCAGTACATATCATATAGGCTAGGGAACTAAGAGAAAGGAAGTATCAGTTCATGCTACAGGGGAATTAAGAGAATTCCAAGGCCTAGAATTCATCTCTGGGCCTTAAAGCAAATGGCTAGGGAAGAGCAAGGCAGAGGGAAGATAGGAGCTCAGGAAAAAAGAATGAGCACTGCATACCATGGGGGGTGAGGAGTTGTGTCCATTTGGAATGGTGGGTACTTGCTGAATTGGTAGAATGGGTCCAGAATATGTGGGGCATTGAAAGAGAGCAAGAAGTTAGAACTTTATACTGTATTTATGAAGAACTACAAAAGCATCCTAAGAATCCAATTACAACAGATAATTTTCTATGAGGGGAGGCAAGCAGTACAGTGTTTTGCCAAGCACAATCTGCAAAGTCCATATATTACAAGGTACAAAATGCATCCTTTTTTTGAGTTGGAGTCTCACGCTGTCACTCAGACTGGAGTGCAGTGGCCACTCCCAGCCACTGTAGCCTTGCCCTGCTGGGCTCCAGAGATCCTTCTGCCTCAGCCTTCCAAGTAGCTGGAACTACAGGTGTGCGCCACCACGCCCGGCTAATATTTTTGATTTATTGTAGAGATGAGGTCTTGCCAAGTTGCCCAGGCGGGTCTTGAACCCGCGGGTTCAGGCAATCCACTCACCTTGGCCTCCCAAAGCGCTGGGATTACAGGCTGAGCCACCGAGCCTGGCCCAAAATGCATCTTGAAACCAGTTCAACTTCTACAGACCTTCAAATATTCAGTATGTATATATGCCAGATCTCTGACTTGTCCACTAAGCTTTGAGCTCATGTGCCTAACACTTACTTGATAGCTTCACTTGACTCTAATAGGCATTTTAAATTTAAGATGGTCAAACAGAATCTGCACCACACCCACTTTAAGCAAATCTGTTGCTCCTTCATTCTCCTTCAAATCAATAAATTGCATCACTATTTATTCAGGTGAAAAATTTAGAAGCCCTCTCTCTCTTACCCTTCATGTTAAATCCATCAGCAAGGCTTGCTGTTTCTGTCCTTAAAACATACCTTCAATCTGTCAACTTCTCTTTCTCTTTAGTACCTCCACCCTAACCCACGCCATTACAGTGGGTTGCCTGGTCCAAAGCAATAACCTTCTGAATGGCCTTTTTGCTTCTATTCTTGTATCCCTACTTTATTCTCCAAATAGAAGTACAGAAGTTAGAGTGCTCTGTTATACACTGAAGTCAGTAATATCAATTTTCTGCTTAAAATCTTTCAGTGAAGGCTATCTCAAAAAGAATGCAAGCCAAACTTCTTGTGTGATCCATAAAGTACTACATAATCTTGGCTTCTGCCTCTGCTTGGATTATAAATTTTAGCCCTACTGAGATTCTTTTTATTCTAAAACATGCCAAATATACTTCTGTTCTGGAGCTTTGAGCTGTTCTCTGTCTGGAATACTTTTCCCTCACATCTTCACTTGAATGATTTCTTCTCTTCATTTAGAACTTATCTAAAATAGTATCTTCTCAAAGAAAGCTTCCTTGACCAAGTTCCCAACTATGTCATTCTGTCCCTTCATGTTGTTTTACTTTTCTTAGCATCTCTCACTATTTGATATTATCTATTTTTTTGATTTGTGTTTTTGTCTACACTATCTTCCAGATTGGAATGCAAGTTTCAGTTAAGAAGGAAGTATGTTTGTCTTGCTCAATGCCTGACATATAGCAGGTAATCGATACATTTTAATGAATATATTAACTATCTTCTAATTGTTTCTTTCAGAACCAGCATGACTTATCAAGGACAGAATAATGCAACTTTCTAAAAGAAAACATCAGTACAGATTGTACTTATGTTTATTTAATTTAATTAATTTATTTTTTTTGAGTTGGAGTTTCACTCTGTCGTCCAGACTGGAGTGCAATGGCCGTTCCCGGCCACCGCAGCCTCGACCTGCTGGGCTCCGGCGATCCTTCCGCCTCAGCCTTCCAAGTAGCTGGAATTACAGGCATGTGCTACCATGCCTGGTATGTTTATTTTATAATAATGCAATGTATTTTGAAGAAGTTCTAGTCTATTTTAAAAAACAAGTTCTTCAATTTGTTTTACAAATATCTATTGAATTCTTATTATGTACCCAAACAGCCAAATTCATTCTCTATGGTTTCTGTGTCTGATACTATAAAATAAATTCTTTGAGGGTTTGAAAATTATAATCCAAATTAGTATTTTTTCCAGTTCAGTTTGTATCTTTAGTAGACATTTCATTATCTATTGAAATAGATAACATTTGAAATTAAGAACCAAAAAAAGGGGCATATAAACATCAGACATTTTAAAATTCATTTTCTAATTTCATTACATTCTTCTGAGTAGGTATGTAGGCAAGGTATCATCCTCATGTGTCAGGTAAAGCCTAGGGTCACAAGGACACACAAGTAATGGTAGAATGTGGACTAAAGGGCAGCACCTCCTCCTTTTACAAGCTGAGTGATATGCCACCATATACAATATAACAGAAACAAGGAAGAGTTTTTCCCCCTTCCCTTATTGGTAGATATTAGTCCTAAGGATTTAGTTCCCATTGTACCCTAATTAAACACTTCAATATTCAGGAAAATGTTTTCATTTTTCCTTTTTTCTCCCATTTACTGTTTCTTATATACCAAGTATTGGTACAATGCTTCCATGAAAAATGTCCCCATGTCTTCCAACTGTACTTCTTAATGGTAGTTTGGTGGAAAAAGCCCACTTATATTGAAAGAATGAATTTTAAGGTACCAATAATTTTACAGTGTGATACTCAAGTTTTAAGAATTTGAGTTCTAAGCAATGACTGATTGATAGCTACATTTGAGTACAGTTGAGAAAATCTGTTACAAGAAATTACATACATATTCAATTTAAAAACGTAAAAAAATTCCTATCTTTTATGACACATCATATTTTTCAAGGTCTGTTATGATGCCTAACTTCCTATAGGTTTTAAAATAATGTGGTCAATATGGCAACTGTAGCATTATATACTTTTAATACTTACTGTCTGGTATTCTTGAGGAACAGTCTGCTCTGCACCCAGGTTACATACTTGCCTAGCTCTCTTCATAAGTTCCTTGCATTTTTGCAATAATCTCTGTCTATTTTCATCCAACTCAATGAAATGTTGCTATTATAAAAAAAAAAATTTTAAAAATACGAATGTTACTCTTAAGTCAGAGGACTGTTTTATCAAACCACTGCATATCAAATAAATGACTGAATTCTGATTATGATAACCAAATCATCTGAAATCAAATCTCAAATAATGACTGCTTTTATTCTAAAGGTTAAATTTGAACTTAAATTTTAAAATACATCAGTATTTTAAATTTTAAAATACATCAATAACTTGACATTTCTCTAATCTATAAGAACTCTGAAATTTAAATGTAACTGACATTTTCTGAAAGCTATATATAATTATACTATAATAAATTATATATAACATGATCTTATATGTAGCTATATGTAATTATGCTATAATAAAATTTGAAATATATAGTACATAGACTTCATATCAGAAAGCTCGGCACTCAAATGTGGGAACCTCTAAGCAGTGTTCGATAGTTTTCCAATTGCCTTCATCACCATCATGTATTACTAGACCTATTCATTTCCTCACCAAATAGCTACTAAGAACCTATTATATGCCAATATTATATTCTGCATTGACCACAGACAGGTGAATAGAAGAAATATACTCGAGATTATGATCAAAACAGAAATAGGTACTATTTACAGAATGCTTATGTGCTAGTCCTTGGCTAGGTGTTTTACACACATTATCCCCTTTATTTCTCACAACACTGTATGGTAATATTATCCCCATTTAGCATATTAAAAAAAGACTAGAAGGAATTAAGCAACTTGATGAAACTCACATACTTAAGAGGCTGACATGACTTGGGTCCATGTCTGCTAATAGGACACATGCTCTTTTCCTTACAGCTTGGCACCTCTCGGTGGGAGCGGATTGGATAGGGGATGTATGTAAGAAAAGGGGATGCAGATGCAGGAAAGTCAGAATGGTCACAGAAGCTATGAAAACTGAACAGTCTTAAACGAAAAGCAAGAAATTACTACAGAAGCAGCAGCAGAAGACATTCCAAGGATGTCTGATGAAGGTAAAGGCATAGAAGTCTCAAAGACATGTGTAGTTCGGGACCAAGTTATCGAATATGGTTAGAGGGGAGCAATCTGTGAGGTTGTGAAAGATCAGACTTAGCAAGGTGGACAAGGGTCATACTGGAAAAGTTTCCTGTGTAACGAGGGTGGCATCTCATCTACTGCATGTCTTCTGGAGGTTAGGCATTGTTATACCTCTATTCCATATGTTAATTAATTTAATCTCAATTAAATCCTAAATAAATGTGTTATCTCCTTTTGTTGATGTGGCTCAGAGGCATTAAAAAAACTTACTCAAGGCTATGTAACAAAAGGAACACCTGGGGGAAGGGATTGAAGCCCTTGCCACATTCCAGATCTATGTAATTGATATCACTGCAGCTGAGGCCCAGACATCTGTATTATTGAGGTTCTCAGGTTATTTTTATCCATATAAGTTTGATAGCAAATAAATTAAACCAAGACAATAGTTATGAAAAGAAAAAGAATATTTATTGGCCCAAACTGATAATATAAGCAAGCCTTTATACTAGTTACTTAGTACTATGGTTTCCTTGAATGAATTCCTCAGTCCATACAGCCTGACAGAAATAATAGAAAATGTTAAAGACTTCCAGTCATCCCAACTCTGCTCTTTGAGGGTCACTGTACTCAGGAAATTGAAAAATAAAGGACAGCTGGATAGAAACTATATACTCCTAATTTTTTCTATTCCTGTGTCTTGATCCTCTGGACTTTGTTAAAGTAAAAGAATTAGAATATTATGGGAAAGAAACATCAATGAGCTGATAATTTGAAACCCTGGATTTAGGAGGATGTAACTTCATTCAATAGATTCTTTTTGTTTTGGTGGTATATGTCTAATAAAATCTTTAACTGAGAAAATATTCTTTTTATACATACATGTTTGTGACACACCTCTCCGCATAACACCTGTTTTTGTTCGTTATTTTGAGTTGAGTCTTACTCCGTTGCCCAGGCTAGAGCGCAGTGGCACACTCATGACCACCCCAGCGTCAACCTGCTGACTCAGGCCATTCTTCTGCCTCAGCCTTCCAAGGAGCCAGAACAACAGGCACGTGCTTTGATTTACTGTAGAGATGAGGTCTCGCTAAGTTGCCCAGGCTGTTCTCGAGCCCATGGGCTCAGGTAATCCTCTCACCTCGCCCTCCCAAAGTGCTGGGATTACAGGCTTGAGCCATTGCTACTGGTCTTTTTTTTTTTTTTTTTTTTTAAACCGCGATTCTTGCTGAGTATTTTTAGAGGACTGGGATATACAATTATATAAGATAATGTTGTAAAGTCAGGCTAGTAAAAAGGCTTTATTTACATTTTGGTTTAGAATCTAGCCTTTAAATAATAAAGAATAGAAAACACTCGATCTGGCTGGGTTCGGTGGCTCAGACTGTAATCCCATGCTTTGGGAGCCTGAGGTGAGTGGACTGCCTGAGCCAGCGGGTTCGACACCCGCCTGGGCAACTTGGCGAGACCCCATCTCTACAATAAATCAAAAAATCAGCCGGGCATGGTAGCGCGTGCCTGTAATTCCGGCTATTCGGAAGGCTGAGGCAGAAGGATCGCCGGAGCCCAGTGGGTCGAGGCTGCGGTGGCTGGGAGCGGCCACTGCACTCCAGTCTGGGCGACTGAGTGAGACTTCAACTCAAAAAACAATAAAAAATTAAAAAATCAAAAAAAGAGAAAATACTCGATCTGTTTAAGACATAAGAGGACAAAGGGAAAAAATTTACAAAATAACCCTCACTAACATCTCAGAAAAGGTTATTTCGTAGTTATGTATTCTGGAAGAAATTCACAAATATTATCTTTTCTTTAAAATTCTTTTTGAGAATGTTCACTTTTCATGGAAATTGTACAGATAAACCCTAACATTAAACAAGGAAAAGCTTTTCTAAGAAGGCCCTCTTGTGGAAGAAATAAGAATTATTCAGAGAATTTCTAATTAAAACCAAGTATTCTATTTAGCAGTTCATTAAGATAAGAGTCAAACAAAATGAAAACCATTTTCCATATCAATGAAATTAAAGTAAATTCTGGATAGCATGAACTTTTACTAAAACACTAGCTGTAAATGAACATATTTCTTCCTCAATTTTCCTTTAATACAAATAGAAACATCAAATTTCATTCCAATTTACAACTGATTTTAAATTCAAATGTTAACCATTTGTTTTAATTACCAGACAGAATATATATTTAAGCACACAAAGATTATTTAATCATTTTTTTTTTTAAAAAATGACCACTTGAAATTTTAATGTCAAATTTGAAATCTATAAGGTAGTCTTATTTGACTTTTTAATACACAAAATTACAAGTTATATTTAAATCCACTTAATTGGCTGGGTGTGGTGGCCCACACCTATAATCCCAGCACTTTGGGAGGCTGAGGTGAGAGGACTGCCTGAGCCCATGGGTTCAAGACCAGTCTGGTCAATTTGGCGAGATCTCATCTCTACAATAAAAAAAAAAAAAAAGTAGCCAGACATGGTGGTGTGTGCCTGTAGTTCCAGCTACTTGGAAGTCTGAGGCAGAAGGATCACCTGAGCCCAGCAGCTTGAGGCTGCGGTGGCCATGAGCATGCCACTGCACTCCAGCCTGGGTGACAGAGTGAGACTACAACTCAAAAACAAAAACAAACAAACAAAACAGCTTAATTGTAAACAATAAGGTAACAGAAAAACACTATTTACTTATTAAATGATTTTTTTCTTTAAAATTACATATACCTCATTTAAGTAAAAATGTCTTCTCTGAAACTCAATTTTGTGTGTGTGTGAGACTGGCAGGCAGGTAGGTAGGAGGGAAGGTTAGATGAAAAGCACAGAACTCTTCATGGTAAGTATGAGGATAAACAAATTGAACAACTTCCAATTCTTTTTTTTTTTGAGTTGGAGTCTCACTCTTTGTCGCCCAGGCTCGAGTGTAGTGGCATGCTCACAGCCACCAGAGTCTTGACCTGCTGAGCTTAGGTGATCCTTCTGCCTCAGCCTTCCAAGTAGCTGGAACTACAGACACATGCCACTCTGCCAGGCTAGTTTTTGTGATTTATTGTAGAGACAAGGTCTCACCAAGTTGCCCAGGCTGATCGTGAACCCTTGGGCTCAGGCAATTCTCTCAGGCTGAGCCATTGTGCCGAGCCTCAATTCTTATAACTGATATGAATTCTAAACCTGTACTTTAAAGGAAACACTGGTTTCATGCTATGTAGCACACTAGACACTTAATATATATGACATATATATTAAACTGAATATCCCAACTTCCCTGCAAATTAGGTAGATATACCTAGGGTTACAGATAATGATTATGCTTGGAGTGGTTAGTAAACCTGCCAGTGTCCAAAAACAAAGTAACAGGAGTATGTTTCTGTCTATCTCTATATATGGACGCACACAGAGTGAGCTTACTGACTTGTCCTAAAATAGTCCAGAAGTTAGTGACATCACCAAACAGAGGCTCCCAACTATTTGCCTTTCTCTGGCGATGTTTTACAGATCTGGAACCCTGCACACTATTTGCTTTTAAACTCTGAGAAAGTATCAAACTTCATTGTGGTTACTTATTTCTAAGTTCCCTCGTAAAAATAATCCCTACTGAAATTCTGTGTCAACCTTCTTTTGTAAACTTATTTTCATGACCAGCGAAAAGGACAAAACCAGAAGTGGTAGTAATAGTTCCTCAGTGCAATCTGCCATGTGTTCAAAGGGACAAGTAGGAAAAAAAAGAGACCACTCCTTGTTTCAAATGAATCTGGGTAGCAAGAACAGATGACAGTTAAGATCATGTGCAGGTAAATGATGGTAAACATGAGAAGAAAAAAGAGTAAGTAAAAGAAAGTGAACTACCACATATAATACTCTTCTTTCATCCACTGTTCTCGACTCATTCAAGTATGTGGCTAATGACTAAAATCAGTCATTTGCTAAGTATATGGAACAAGAATTAAAAGAAAGCATCTTACAAAAGGGTTGGTAAAACAAT